TCACGGGAAAGTTGAATCAATCTTCTCTTTTAGGCTCTTTTCTGACGCAATTAGATTGCCAAATTAAAAATTTTAGAAAGAGCTGAACTATTACATGTTACGGCCAAATCGGAAAATGGCCAATGTCCGATCTTTTCTTGATTTTGGGATTTGACCGGCCAATTTGCGAAATGGCAAGGTCCGATCAGCCAAAGTCGGGAGAAAAGTCAAGGTCGTTTGTAAGTTATCTCCAACTTTTACTAAGCAGATTTGAGGTTCTCAGCCCCGCTTTTGCTTTGCAGCCAAACATGGCCTCATATGGCGACTGATGAATGCCCTATGAGTTTTTCAAATTCTTTCTACCCTTTGGGCACTAAGAGGTTTCTTTAAGCAAGCCCGTCATGGGTTCGGCCAGACCCACAATGGGGCGGCCGGGTGGTGAGGGAGATAGGACAATATATTTTCCCGAAAAATTCCTGGGGATTTCTCGACCCGTCCGGATTCGATCCCGGGTCCCCCAGAGTGGTATGCTACCACTTTGACCGCTCGGCCATTCTGCCGTTATTTTCAAGTGGATATCGTGCAATATGTCGAAAAATTTTTCTGTATGCACATAGTACAAAATATCGCTATTGTGTCCTGTTTTTGCACAATAAGGTTTTCTTTGCCGTCAACTTCAATAAAATCATGTTTTCTTAGTCGATGATAGTCAACGCTTTTTTCCTGCTTTGCTTTTGCCTGTTTAACGTCTCTATAAAAGCGCCGTATTTGTTTCTGGTGAGGATCTCACTATTATTTGCTTTTACAAGCAACAATGTATTCAAAGTATCCGAGAACCTGATTTTCATATCAAATGTCGGTTCCGCATTTACGTGTAGTCCAACTATACCCAGCATATTTGTCTCATCAGAAGTAGCCACGGGACAACCCGTGGAATAACAATTATGAATATTTGAAATTGTAATATTGTTTCATGGGATACAGCCCTAGTAAATTGTGTTCTGTTGCTAATTTAATACGCTCCTTTAAAGGAAAACGTGTTGTACAATCTTTTATTAACCTCAGGATAATTACTGCGTGCTTCTTCCAGCAGTATGTGTATCACACGTACCCCACAACACATATTATATGACCTACGACTTAACCTTTGAACTCAAAAGTTTTCATATAGAATACTATAGAAATACGAGAAATACAGTACTCACAATGAAACCGTTGTCAGAATAATAAGAACAAGTCACAGAGGCAGGACTTCCGAAAAGCAGCAGACATACGGAATATTATCGTTACAACATGGCAAAAGCATATACACTGGTCATTTAAAGTATATCGGTCATTGGCCACTCCACTCGGCCAAAGTGCGAAATGGCCAGCCAATTTGGGAACTGGCCAAACTTCGGGCTTTGGCCGTAACACATATTCTTCATGCTCACATTCAGTATCCCGAAACTAGATTTACATAAGCCATGTATAAAAATATTTTAGCTCCCTCAGCTCAGGAAAAAATAAAAAAACACAATAGACTATATAACATCAAGTACTCCATGAACAGTTAAGTGGGCTACTCGAAGCCGGCATAATTGCGTGGGCTAAATAGTTAAATGCGATAGTCTTATCGGAGTGCGCGGTGCGACTTGAGATCGCGTGGGGCTGATTTTGGGAAACTTTATCTCGCAAAAGGTCACATTTAGAGGTATGGTTTCTTTGACTTTTTTGCATCTATGGACTTGCTCTATAGCTCTTAAGGTTCCAACAGCGTCATTCACGTCAGCAATTGTACCAAGCGTTAATTAAAGAAATAAGAAAGATGTGTAATGTCTGATAATTATAAAAGGCCAGCAGCTCATATTGTTATTTACTAGTATTTAATAAAGTAACAAAGATTATATCGATCTATACATCTTTCTATGCTTTCTCCTTTTTCATCTTCCATCTTTCGTTTCTTTTCATGTTTAAGATTTCATTCCCCATTTTTACATCTGTATCTTTTTCTGCTAATGATGCTTACATTATTTATCTATATCACTATTGCGTTCGTTTCTTTTGATAATTCGGACTTCCACGACTTTCTCCTATCACTATCCATTCGAAGAGTTTTCGTTTGATCCTGACGAATTAACAGGGTAAGTCTGGCAGCTACGGTATAATGACTCCTGCTAGCTGTTTAGAACTGGAGTCTCTTCTGGATTCGTTCTCCTTTTCTTATAAACATGTTAGTTCCGTTTCAAATACAAATATCTACTTTAATTAATTATCGATCGATTAAAATCGACTTATTACATCTCATAATAGATGGCACCACACACGACTCTAAGTTTGAGTCATTGTTAGTGTTTTTTTAACTTCTTCCCGTTTGAGTGCCATGACAGTACAACAAGACCCCTTACCAGCTTTTTTTAAAAGAAATTTCCTCCAAAAATTTGAGTCAGTACGTTTAATGTTATTCGACCAGAATTTAAAATGAATCACTCCCCGAAACTAGCTTCCCAGCGCCTAGAAACAAGAATCACCAGATGATAATTATTCCAATTTTACTTTCTTCAATAGAAATTGACTGTTTGGAATTAAAATAAATTATTTTTTGATTCTGCCCTGACAGGCCAACAATAAGGGCAGCCAGGTGGTGAGGAAACAAATTTCCTACTACAAATATTCTTTTGATCAAAACTCTAATTTAAATTATAACTATTTAAATGTAAGATTTATGGTAATTCTATCTTCTGTCCTTTATAAATTTTAATGAAGTCCATCTAAAGAATAGCAAATTTGCTGATCTTGTGAAGTCTAATATACTTTGTTGTATTTGTAGCCATAAAAGAATCATTACAGCAATTTTATTACATAAATTCTCGTGAAAAAATGGTCTTCAATATGTTAAGATTGTTTAGTATAAATAAAAGTAGAAATTAAAATATTGTACTGCATTAATCTATAATTTATCTATAACTTACATTGAATAATTGAGTATTTTTCACTTTATTTAAGTACTAGTACTGTGGTTTTCAAACTTATTGATCCACATACCAGTTAAACTGACTTGCAGATGAACCACTGACTCTTAAACTGAATTTCAGATGAACTGCAGATGACTGATTAAACCAAGTTGCAGATGAACCACTGACTGCCTACACCTGTGCATTTCTTATCCTGTAAATATAATCTTAAATAACATTAAATTGAGTGTCAAAACATTTTGTCTATTCAATAACCTAATTTTAAAAGTTATGTAATGCATAAAAATAGTTTTTTTCCTTTCCTCTGATGAATAGTATAAAATTCTATTTTCAAAAGATGGCTGAGAATCTGCAGACCATTAACATAAGTGCATATGTTGGTGGTCCACAGACCACCAGCACATGCACTTATTCATTTTTCCAAAATGAATAGAGTTCAAAGGACAAATCAAAATGACTAAACTTTCCAAAATACAGTCCATAAACTAGTGTGGGCCATATTTTCAGAACCACCATACTAAAACATACAAATAAAGTAAAAATTACAGTAGACATAAAGTATGTCTGATAATTTTTCTAAATTTAGAATTTTGTACAGTAAATTCCAAACTCAAAAATTGATTAATACATGTTCCATAGCAGGATTTAAGTTAAAAAAACAACCTTATTTTTAGTTACTGTAAAAAAAAAAATAATGATAAAATAGATGCAACTTTTGCTGAACACACTTTATTTGGAATTAATACATAGCAGACAATTAATACTATTATAAAATGGGCAACATAAATTTTTTCTGCTTATAGAATTGCAGATGTCTCATATGACATTAACAACACCGCAGCCATATTTTTTTTTCATTGGAAAAAAGTTAATTTTCTTCAAAGTAATATTTTAAAAGATTATTTGTATATATATAGATATTTATATAAACACAAATTCTAAACTTTTACACATTCATCTATTTTGAATTGCTGTTTTATATTTAAGAGAATTCTACATTAAACAAACAAATCAAATTTAATGCCGGAAAATTCGATTTATTATTTTTTTTGACGTATCGAATTTACATCTGAATTTTGTTTTATTCCTTCCGATTACTTTCAACCCTGGAATGGCTGCTATTTTAACATTTATTTGTGTACATATTTTTTTTTTTATGATGCTAAATTACACATCACACATCGCATGGTCTTCATTGGCAATTCTACCAAAGCATTTTTTCGGAAATATCGGTTAATGTGCAGCAATTAGACACAAATGGATATTTTAATATCTACTGCAGATCAGTTCTGGAAAACAGCAATAACATAAAACGATTAAGAGATGTTTTAATCATAATCTACATTACCAAGGCAGCTTAACTATAAAATCGATAAAGTTCCACATTAAGAACAATGATTTAAAAACTGGTACAAATCATTTTTCTTTTAATCGGCAACCCATTAAATTTCTAAGGTGAATTTTTTACCAAATAAACAATTTTTTTCTCTTTATAAATTCAAATTTAATTTTTGACCCCTAAACTTTTCTTTTATGTGCAATTTAACAAAATCCCAACATTATAGAAAATAATAATAATAATAATATTAACAAACTACCCAAATTATAGAATTTACTGTAACATATAAACTGATGTTAAATGAATGAAAAATAATATACATGTATATAGTTAATACGTATATGTATATATATATATAATGTGTGTGTTATTCATAAAAAAATGAACAATGATATAAGTAAAATTTTATACTTAAAATCTAAAATCTTACAGATTTAATACAAACTTCCCATTGTTTCTTTTTATTTAAACTAAAAACTGAAAGAAATACTCTTGAAATAAACGTACATATGTAATTAACCCAGATATAAACAAAATGCAAAACAGGCCATTAAAATACCAGTGGAACTTTTACGCCTATGAGTACAAAAAAAGAAAGTAACAAACACATTCTTGCGACAAAGAAACCTTTCCACAGAATTCTGGATAGAATAATATTAAAAAGATTCTTCCTAATGTTATGTTTTTGTCTTTTGTTGTTGTTTATGGCCTAATTAATGCTGCCAACCTGGTTTATTATATTATACATAATAATTTTTTTTTTATTTTTTTTTTGCCAACATTCCAGACTGCCACAGACAGGCCAGAGCAGAAACATTGCAGATTGGGGTATATTTCCCTCACATGCATTGCATCGGTTTGGAGACACAGGAAGTGCATCGAGTGCTCATTCGTAGCTCTGATGAGGCAAATGCTAATGCCAAGCTTAACAATGCCCCTAGATGACTGGCAGGTAGGCCTGGGTGGCTGTCATCAAACGGCCACTTATGTATGCCCTCCTCTACCTCTGATTCTGTGTAGCTTGTTATTCCTCAGCTTCTCTTCTCCTGTGATATCTGTGAGCTTCATTGCTGCTCTCTGGAACAACCAGCAGGCATCTGCCACTGCCGCTTTCTCCCCTTTGGCTCAATAAGGCTGGGAAAACTGACCACCTTGTGAGGCATGGAAAAATGCCCGATCTCCTTGGTATGTTGAATCTTGAGAAAGCATACCTTCCGTCTGAGAACGGAATTCGTCAACCAAGTACGTATCCTGAAAACATGAATAATGACAATATATGATATATTAATGCAAGATGTAATGTTTATATGATAATTCAAAACTAATTTACTATAATTCCTAAAAAAATAGTTCTATGTTCATTATTAAAAATTGTAACAGTTTAAACATATCTATTTGAAACTTTTACAAAAAATTTGAAATTATAAAGAAAAAATTAAAGTTTACACAATGTGACATTTGAATTTTCAAATTTTTAGCTACAGTGATGAAATTATACAGATTCAAGATTCAACTATGCTTTTATTCTGGAAAATACTATAGTACAGCATCTTCCAAAATGAATGATACCATTTTAAATTACTATAATTATGTTAATTATTATCTGAGAAGTATGCAATGTACGTCGATTGATAAATAGGCTTGAGTTTCATCTCTCATCTCAGTTCAAATGTGTTGTCATATACTACTTTAGTTCACAAAGTCAGAATCACTTGTCATTGTGCAACCTGAGTAATCTATAGAAAGTGTAAAATTATGGCTGCTGTGAAAGTGAAAATAGATATGCTATAATGAGTGTAGAATGAATTTGAGAATCAGTGCTGTGTGACACAAGGTACACACACTGAGAAATTTTAATGCAAATATGAAACTTGGACAATGTTTTAATGTACATTAAAACATTTTCAGATAATAATTAACATAATTACAAAAAGTTAAAATGGTGGCATTCTTTTTGGAAGAATCTGTATATTATTAATCATTTAGATACAAATACTTTATTTAAAATGTTAACAAAAAGTAAATTATAATACCTGAGAGAGTTCAGGCTGTGATAAACCTGGTTGAGAAAGACCGGGAAAAGCTGGCTGACTCATCTGACTCATAGTTAGTTGTCCTTGAGTTAATGGTCCTTGAGAAAACATGACATCCTACAAAAGTAAATTTAACAGATTAAAAAATAATATTTTTTCAAATATGTTATAGATAAGCGAACAAACAATCTCAAGTTACTTACCTGACTTGCTTGACTATTGTAACCAGACTGAGATAGATTTGGATTCATACGATCTTGCATTGTTCTGCGACCAGGCATTTGTTTTGTTCCGCCCCTTCGATTTCCAGTACGATTACGTTGGTTTTGATGGGCTGTAATATAAATCGTGTTTTAAATACTTTTACTGATTGATAAGCATAAATATAATAACAAAAAGTTAGTTTATTAATAATTTCAATGATATGAATTTGAAAATTTTGATACCTGGTTTCATTAATATTTTAATTAACTTGTATATTATTGTATGTTTTTGCTGCAAATGTAAATTTAAGTGATAGATCTACAATGCCAAATAAATAGTTATAAAATATAAAGTGCATAAAGTTGTTCTAAGTATAGTGGGTGATCAAATTATTAGAGTCACATGCTTTTTGAGTAAGTGTAGAAATAGAAGCACAATATTAAAATTTTTTCAGATGATAATTTTTAATTAGCAATTAATTAATGAAATTTACTTTATTCTACTATAAAAGCTAACAAAACTTTGAAAAAATCATTAAAACAATTCTAAAATTAACATTTAGTACTCTGCCTTTTGCTGCAATGGCTTCAGTTCTTTTTGGCATATTTTCTGTGCATTTTAAGAAGTTTGTTTTTATTGTCATACATTTGTGCCACACTTAAATCAAATTTTCTATTAATTTCCACCTGTTTGTGATGACAAACATGGAAATCTCTTCTTTTCATCAGTTCCTAGAGGTTCTCAATGGAGTCAATAAGTGAGGAATTTCCAGGCCAGTCAAGAACACTAACTTGTTTTTCTTGCAAAAATATGCAGGTAGCTCTAATAATTTGATCACCCACTGTATATACATCATGCATACTTAATCTAAAATATTATTTTTATTTATGCATGCACACAGACCCACAACACTATACAAAACTATAATGTACTAATGCTCTGCCCAATCCCTTCAGGTCCAATCCTGACATCTTACATTGCTCTCATTTCTATGCTGCAACTTTATTTTTAATGCAAACTAATTACATGTTCAGTACACATTAATTTGCATTAGTTATATACGTTAATATTAGATAATAGATAAATAATCATTACAAATATTTTTATTTCAAAAATCTAAAGTATAGATGACGGTAAGACAAAATAAAAGTGCTGTTATTTAAAACAGTATAGAACAAATTAATTAAAAAAGTTAAAAATAGAAAGGCTATACTTAAGTTAATTCTCTAAATTCATTATTTTGTAGGGCTTAAATATTTGAATTTACCAGAAAGCCTGAAATTCAATAATCTATTCAATGTCCCCTTTTGAATGAATTATTAATATTTCATTTTTCCATAAGTGAGACTAATTTGACTTTATTATATAGATATAAATGACATGTTAAAACAATTAATAAATCTTCAAATTATTATTTTTAAATTATAATTTAATAATAATAATAACTATTATTATTAATTTATCGAGTAGAAGAAGCTAGCAATTTAAATTACTGATAATGATTGTATGTTGAAACTGATATGAATGATAAGCTGTAATATTGTACTATTTATCTGAAGATAATGATAACTATAACCAAAACTCTGATTACAATAAGCAGTAATTTATAAGTGTATTTTATTAAACTTTTATGCTTTGGGACATGGTAATTCTGATAACATTAAATGATTGATAACAATATCCATGAATACAAGAAGTAGATTCTATTGTATTTTTTTTACTTGCATGTTGTACAAACTGATGAAATCTTTTTGACATACTTATTGTCAAAAAAAGCTTACCTTGTAATGCCTGTTGATGTTGATTATAAAATCTTGGTGGAATATGAGCCATATTCATAAATATTCCAAACGGAACTGGAATATTAGCCATAGCAGCTTGTGCTCTCTCTGGGCTTATATACGAGATCTGATCGTGAGTTCGATTGTATGCGACTGGACCTAATGATTTAAAATAAATTTTTTGAATTAAAATATCTAATTAAAGTAATGAATACAACCAGATTATATCATATTATTCATGTTCTTATTTGTGTTTAAAATTATCTTTGCAAGTAATTCTAAACAATAACAACATGAGAAATATTTGAACGGAAAGTACTAAATACAAATAATACAAATTCAAAATATTGAAATAATTATTTTAATATGTTAAAGTAATAAATTGCTGTTAATATATTAATTTTAACATATGAGTAAGACATAAAGTTTACATAGTTTTGTACCTTTATACCAACTGATGTAAGTTAGAGATATAATTATAATCTAGTGAATGACTTACTATCTTGTAAAAATTCTACTAGAATGACCAATAAAATTATTTATTCATTTTCCATATTAACATCTGAATGAAAAGAATTAAAAACTTTTCTGCTCATAATCATGTTAATTAATGTAATCCAACAAATTTATTCATTAAATCATATGTTTTTGGCCATCTCTGCGGCCATCATTGGAATATCTCATAACAAATAATACAATGTTATGTATAAGTCAAATTAGAATATTTAAATTTCAAATTAAACATTCTAAAATTATACCATTTTTAGATTATAAGAAACAAATAAAAATATAGAATGTAAATTACACCAAACTCTACATTATTATTATTTAAAATTAACCACATATACAAATTAACTGTAAGTGGTAACCCATATCTGTAAGGTCTATGCCAGGTGCAAATATCATGCTATATATTAATATTTTCATGTTGCTGAAAGGCAATTCAAATATAATTAATTAATTAATTAATTTAATAAATTATAATTAATGTACAGTAGAGTTCTGTACAACACACAAATAAAGCAAGCAACACCCTCAAATTATGTTGATCAGAGGTATATGTTTTTTTCAACTTATAGGCCCAAGGTTTAAACTTTCATAAATCATGTGATAATGCAGGTTTCAATAACACAATTTCCTATAATGCATAATGAATCCTCTGCATTGTACAGGACTCTACTGTATTGGCAATTTTTGGTGTGTTTGTAAATGGTGACTTTTTCTACAATTCTTCTTTTCTTTGGATTTCTGTATGTTCCTGAGGAATGCAGATAGAGTGGCTAATACAGTTGTGCATTTTGCTTTCTTATCATCATACTCATGCACTTTAATTCAAATGTATGCTATATACTACTCTACGTATCTACTAATGCAATTCTCATTGTATAGTGTGATTATTCTTTCATAAATTCCTGGTGTAATGTTTAAATCCATTGGGTTTTAGCATTGCATAAAATGTATACATTAAGGTTATTCCCTTAGATCAATTGTATATCTTCCTTCTTACATATTTTCTTTTCTGTTCTATCCAAGAGTGCATGTTGTATGTAATAACCATAGTTCTCTGCTGTTGTTGTATATTGAATTTGCAATTTCCTGTTCTGAATACAGGTATACCTCACCTTACATTGGTAATTGATTCCAGGAGAGGAAAAATAAAGAAGTAAATCGAATTTACTTGTCACTAGGCTAAACCACAAATAACCATTCCCAGTTCTGTATTTTATTTATAAATGCATTTTTAATAAAATATGATTAATAAGAATCGATTTTAAGCTTACAACAAATAAATTTTCGCTTTTAATATAGTACAGGAAAAAGTAATCTAAATTTACGAATACATGTATGGTACATACATACTTGTTTACAATTTACAGGTTTACAATGTCCGCGATGTACTGTAAACATCACGGACTCTTTATTTGTGAATGTGGTTTGCTCTAAGACATTATAAAATAAGATGATTTTGTAAGATTAAATAACAAATACAGTTATTAAAATTATTTTGTGATAGTAAAAAAAATAAACAAATTTATGTTAAATTTACCAATAACGAGTGGTGCTGACGACGACACCAAACAGTAGAAATTGGAACTACCGTGGAAAATGCCAATATTGAGCTGAATAAGATGACAACACAGAGTCACAGATGTTTTCATATTTCGTTCTGTATGATTTATGATGATTATATTAACATTTACTGTAAACATATGTATTTTAATATGATTTTATGTGCTTTTAATGCTTTTATACTGATATCACGACTTCAATATTTGTGGTGGACAGACATAAAGGCAAATAAAATGACTTAAACTTGATTTTTATTTTTCCATATATTTTTTTGACAAACAATGTATAATCGAGAACGGCATAACTCGAGATATACCTGTACATATATAAGTAAGTCTATATTTGTGCACAAGTACTCATATGTATTAGCATCCTCCTTAATTCTGTCTAGTTCATTCAAATTATTCCTGATATCAGTGCAATGGGTGTCTGCTCAACAATTAAAGCCCTAAATGCATATGTTTTGTAGGAAAATGGTTTATTGCAGCACTTAGGGTACAAATGTTAGGTAACCAAGCCCCAAGAGTTATTGCTCATTACAGAAATGATGGTGGTTAAAAATGTGTCCTTTTAAAATACATAAAAAATTCCTTTTGGCTAAAAGTATATAAAATTACAGTGTTTAAATAAAAACTAAAAAACTATTGATTCATAATTATAATTTGGACAAAAATATTTGAAACTATTTACAAGAAGGCAATGCATTATGCTGACAACTTTAAAGATTACCATATTTATGCATGTATAGGCTGCACTTTTTCACCCTAAATTTTTTTACCAAAATTAGTGTGTTGCCTATACTTTGAGATAATGAATAATTTTAAAGAAATTCAAAATTAGGTAGGTGTCAGGAAGCTGCTGTGCCATTGAAATTTGACACCTAATCATGAGCTCATGTCATGCCATGAAACATCTTGCTCAGACATAACTTCCCTTAAATTCACTTATGGGAATTTTCATATTCTGGGCAATCATTTGGGCTTTAAACTGAATCATTTCAACAATACAGAAAACCCGTTTGCCCAAATTTCACAGATATATGAATAGATTTGCTTCCAGGTTGGGATAATTTTGCTGTCTTTCTGTAAAATGATTGCTAATATTGTAATACTTTCTCAAAAGTGTCCTTTTTTTGAATCCAATGCCACACGTTTTTCTCATCTACATCACACTTTCTTCCTGCTTCTCAATTTCCATTCTCTTGTGCATAATGCACAACTTGCAACTTAAAACTTCACCATGCCAATCTTTCTGACTCGACACATGTTTAACATACACATAGCAGGCACTCAAAAATAAGCATTAACCATCATTCCATCCCTTTGTTTAAAATTTGCAATGTTGCCATATTTCTGTATACCCACATTTCTACTCTCGCCCTGTGGCAAACTTTTGAGATTTTAATTTTTTCCAAGTGTATCATTTCAGAAACAGAGCACAACTTATAAACATATGTGGCCTAAATACAGTATCTTCACACAAACAAACTATCATTCAATTAATTATCTTTTCAGAAAAGTGAACAATAATTTGAAAAGACAACTGCAAATTTTAAAGAGGATATATTAGCTTTTAATTACAAGACTATTGTATACTTATTATACACTATATATATATATATATATAATTATTATATATAATAGGCACTACAATGAATTATAACATACTCAAACATACACAGTAAAAAAAAACATTTCTCTGTATCCTACAGTTGCTTACTTGGTCTAACATAAGTTTTTGGGCAGATTGGTCATCATTCACATTTGAGAGGAATTTGTCTACTTTGGTTTTATCAGCTTTCAGCACTATTGGTATGTTAATTTTAGAATGTTTGATGTTTTAATTTGAAATTTAAGTGTTGTAATTCATTTTATATGTAATGTTCTATCGTTCCATTATGAGATATCCTGATGATAATATGGAAACATCCAAAACATTTGATTTAATAGTTTTGCAGGTTAAACTTTTTGCCTCTCATCAGATTAAAGCACCAGTTTAAGAAATATACCATTAAATTAACAATAAAAGTAAGCTAAACCTGATAGCAATATTTTTAGTAAAGAAGTTCGTACATTTCTCAACAAATTTAGAATGAATCAGGTACAGCAGCAAAATAACATATATTTATTCATATTTTCATTGTGTAAGCATTATTTAAATTAAAATGATAATGATGCAAAAAGTTATGGAGGATATTCAATCTATTTTCTTCAACAGAGATTTTTGCACCGTCATCAACTTATAATAAATGGTGAAGTAACATCTTGGCTGTACATAAAATCAACTTAAAATTTTCCAATTACAAAACTATAAATGTAGAATTTATTAAATTTGAAAACCTAACAACATATTGGTTTTAATCTGTTAAATAATGATTATTAATTAATTTAGTATTTCATTTTTATGTCATTGCAAGCAACTTTACTTTGTTTCTTTAATGGTTTGTTTTAAAGTATCACTTAATAGACTACATAAGATATATAAAAAATAATTGGTGTTTACACATCTAAATTACACAAAAATATTTTAAAAAATGATGAAAGTCTAATATGTTTTATAAGATATATGTTTGATAACTCTTTGATGCTAATGTAGCAATCATAGTTTAAGCAATTATTTTGAACTTTTTGAAAAGTTTTATTTACATTTTATTGTATTTTCTAAACACCTTTTATATTCTTTAATGAATATATGAATGAATTCTTCATAATTTAGCAACTTTACAAATTTCTGGAAGATCTTTAAATTCACATAATGAAAAAATATAGTGCAATTCAATAGTGATGATTATGTGAAAATAAACTTGCAAACTTGACTTGGGCCTATAATTTTCATTAAGAAGTTCAGACTGAATATCTTGAATTTTAAAATTTTTATCAAAATATTTCAAAATCAAATTAAATTTTTTATTAAAATTTGATAAATCATGAGGAACTGAAGCTTTATGAATGAGGAGTTTCCTTTTATAAATATGTTTAAGATATCCTTGGTGATAATCAGTCAGAGTTTAGGCAAAAGCAATCAGATAATCATGTTAAAACAAGTTTTTGAAAAAGTTGGAAATATGGGAAGAAAGTACAGTACATTGATTTTAAAGAACTTATGACTATACACAGAAATAGTTTGTGGAACATATTGAGAGAACTAGAAATATATATTTTATTTGTATAATATGATACTATTTACAGGAAATAAATCATCTAATTTTTTTCAGTTCCAAATGAGCTGAAGCTGGGAGATGCTAAGTTCTTCAATGTTACTTTGGAAAATGTAATCACAACAACAAAAAACAAACACCATCAATTAAAATATTAGGTTATGCAGATGACGTAGGTATAATAGGAGAAACATATAAAAAGCATAGACACCATTAAGCAATCGTGGGTTTGAAAGACACTCCATGGTAGACATCTCTATGACCTGGCCAAGGATTTTGTTGACAAAACTGCATCAAACAGCTAGTTAGCTCAAGGATGCCTCTTTGGGGAGATGGAAGGGTTCATGATTGCCATACAGGATCACGTCATAAATACTAAAAACTACAGAAAACACATACCCAAAGACAGAACACTCACAAATGACACATGCAGAAAATGTCACATCATGCCAGGGGCTATACAACAAATCAATTCTGGTTGAAAGCTCTTGGCACAGAGATTATTTACATAGACATAATCAAGTAGCAAATATAATACACCAAGAGCTTGCAAACAAACACAAATTATTAGACATCCATGAACCATACTACAAATATATTCCACAGACAGTATTGGAAAACAACATGCACAAAATGTACTATGATAGAGCCATAATCACAAAACAGACCAGACATCACATACATTATAGACATATCCATTCCAAACACAATGTACAAAACACATGCACTGGAAAAATCAGCAAGTATACAGAATTCACCCAGGAAATAAGGCATCTGTGGAGGATGGATAAGGTGCTTATTGTACCTGTCATTCTCTCCTCTACAGGTGTCATACCACACTCACTACACAAAAGCCTGGGAACATAACAATTGAATACAGAAACACATACATCACACTACAGAAGACAACTATATTGAATACATGTCATATTGTTAGGAAATTCCTGAATACAGACACACTGACACACTTATTTAATTTTTGTCTTGTTTTGGTTACTATGCCTTTTCTCTGGTCTGGCATAGTACACAGCCACCAGGATTAACTGAGTATAACCAACTAAACACAACATAATAATAAGTGCAGAGCACAAACAGTTAGGAGTTGAAAGTTGAAATTTGATACACAATTAGGGTACATCACAAGAATGTAAACTAAGAGATTTTTGGAAATTCTCCCCTGCGGGGAGAGGGTGAAGATTAAGGATTACCCTGAAGAACTTGGCTTCTACTGTATTATTTTAGATGCAGTTTTTGCACTTTTGTGTGAAATCAAACATATTTTTAGACCCATCTAAAAATTCTCTAATCATCCTCGGAATAGGGTGACCGAATTCTTGCACCTGGTGAAAATGGGCAGATCGGCTATAATCTAATAATCTTAATCTTCGCTATTGTTACTTTTCGCCTGAGCAACACCGGGTTCATCTGATAGTACATGAGTTTCATAATTCACAAGGACTAAAAATCTATCAAAAAATTAGTCATAATGTATAAAAATATTTTCAAAAAAGGAAAAAGTCTCCATTAAATATAATAGAGCTGACTGCAAAAAGCATGCAAAAAACATGTATATAATTTAATTATATTTGAAAACCCCTTAGCTAAACATGAAAATCAGAAAAATACAACATAGTGCAGAAAAATTTTTGAATTTTGGATGATTTTTTATATTACAATATCACACTAAAAATTGCATTAGATTCAATCTGTTTTTCATTTATTTTTTTATCAGGAACATATCACAGTTTATGAATGTTAAGTTTAAAAACATAGTAAAAGTTTTAAGTTTAAAAAAAAAAAAAAATACATTTCAGATTTGAAAAAAAAAAAAATTATTTTATAAACATCAGATTAATTTTGTGTATATAGTAATTAGATATATCTATTTTATTTCAAATAATTAGAGTTGAAAAATGAAGAAAATAATAATTTTATAGCATATTTTTGTTATGACCTTGATGACACAGCAGCCAAAAAACGCGTGGCTTTTGCAAATAAAGTCCTACCCCACAGTTCAGAGCTGATGCTTATTCGTTTAAGAAAAGTCAATCAACATAAAAACTACTACCCTGAGCTTGCAAAATGTTTTTACAAGAAGCTGAATAAATAATGTACAAGATTTCCTATAAACTTATAATGGATAAGAGTTTTGTGGCTAAATTTATGAATGCATAGAGATAACAAATGATTCTATTTGTTAAAATAAAACAAGTCAATATATATATATAAAAACCAATCTGTGCTTAAATTGCTATCAACTGGAATATAGCAAGTCCAAATAGAAAAAAGTTTTTTGCACTTCAAAAAGCACTTAACTTTGCAATATAAAGATTTTTCTATAGTGCAACTTAAAATGTGCTCCACATGGAAGATAATAACCTATGTCAATAATATTTATATCAAAATGTATAGAACAAAATTCCTTATCTTATGAGTTTAGTAAAAATAAATATATCATTAAAAACAATTCGTTTTTTTGCATCAAATATAAAAACTTTCTTCTTTTTACAATTGCTTATTTTTATTTAAAGAAAATCAAACTATTGATTTTTAACAAAACAACTTTTAATACATTTTTTAAATAAAGCATGAAAATTTAGATGTTTAACCTTAGGTACTTTCAACATGCCCTAAGTAAACAGGTAGGAACAAATGGGTTAATCAAACATTATCATCATTACAGTTATTTCTAAACTATATGTAACAAAATACTTATTGCTACAAAAGTATGTTTCAAATAATTCCATTCTAGTTCTGAAAGATTTCCATTAAAAGAAAAAATGAGAGAGAGAGAGAGAGAGCCTGAAACTTATTGGTAGGTACAGATATGTTCAATTAAATAAATTGGCCTAATAAAGTTCCTTTCACATTCTTAAAATTTTATTATATGATTATTTATACTTAGATTTTAAAACTAAACTTTCACTTGCCATTTAAATGTGATGAACGATCATATACACTTCCAGGAATCATAGCTTCTCTTGCATCATACATTGTTGTGTGCATAAAATGACCACCCTTAAAAAGTTACAAAAGATGTAAATCATTTTCTTGAAATAAAACTTTTTCTTTAAATGAAGAAAATAGTGGGCTTCAAATAAAATTATTTGGCCTTTATTTCTTGCTCTGATTTTATTCATTCATCAAATGATAAATGAATGTAGTATTTTTAAACATCTCACAAATCAAATTCAATTATAATCAAAAAACAAAAAAATTTTGTTGAAAATGTAATCTATTTTACAGGAATGTGAAGTTTTTTGATTATTATTTTATTCAATTCTAAGATGTTTGAAAATAAATTTGACAACTTTTCATTAAACACTTGATAAATATTTTTTTAAAATAAAAATAATTCATTTCTGAATTTGAAAATCATTGAATTATAAAAACAAGCCTGAATTTGTCCAATGTAAAAATGTTTTCTGATAAATATTGAAAACCAGAGAGATAAAGGTAGAGTTATTTTACTTGAAACTCTGCTCATATATAATGTATAAATCCAGAATACTTACCGGATTTATTGTATTAATCAATTTTCTAGGTTTACTAAATTGGATCATACTTTCTTTTAAATGATTCAAGGGACCTTCTACAAGAACTTTGTTTTCTTTATAGAAGTTTAATAAATGATTCCATAAAGGTTGCTGAAAAAATTCAAATGATTAGAGATGGCCTAAATGTATAACATACAATTTATTATAATTTTATAAAATATATGTATTTTTTAAAATTTAAATATCTACCATTAAATAAAATATATTCAAAAGCAAAATTTTTAATCATAATTAAAAAATGTATTCATAATTCAACTAAAGTTCAATTTGGAATGACAAAAACGCTTTCTGTAATAAATAATACAGGGTTTGTCTGAAAAGTAATGTCAGTGAGTTGATTAGAAAACATTTATTAATCCAATCAGTATGATACATTAAAAGGTTTCAAAATAGGCTCCTCCTGTGTCGATACATCGCTTCCAGTGAGATTTCCAGGCATCGAAGGTGTCATGGTAGGCTTTTTCGAAATGTCCTTTAGAGCCTTGGTACAAGCCTCTTTGACTTTGTCAACTGCCCCGAAATGATATCTTTTCATGAGAGTTTTCAAGCGCGGGAACACAAAGAAGTTGGGGGAGCCAAGCCAGGACTGTAGGGCAGCTGGGGAACCATTGGCACCTTTGAATCACCCAGGAAATGGGTCACGAGGAAGGTGGTGTGGGCCAATGTGTTGTCATAGTGAAGTTTCTAATCGTCCACGATGTAGGGCTGAATGTGATGAACCCTTTATTTGAGTCTCTTGAGCACTTTCACATAGAATTTGGCATTGATGGTTACATCATATGATACAAACTCATGGTGGACGAGTACCCTGATGTCAAAAACCACAAGCATTATAGTGATTACAATTTCATGATGAACTCAGGATATTTTTCTTCTAATTATCAATTAGAGATTCAGACTATGTACAAAAAATTATTTAATTAATTTTTGAGTCTATCAATTAATCCTTTTTTCATACACCATAGAAGTACCCTTTTACATTGGTTTGAAGAAATCACTTCATAAAAATGAATAACAATAGGTAAAATTTACAATTAAAAATGATCAGACGTCAGCCTTTCTTTTTAGGTATCTGACATCTTAACATTAAAAAATTAAGACCGTCAGATACCTAAAAAGAAAGGCTGATGTCTGATCATTTTTAATTATAAATTTTACCTATTGTTATTCATTTTTATGAAGTGATTTCTTCAAACCAATGTAAAAGGGTACTTCTATGGTGTATGAAAAAAGGATTAATTGATAGACTCAAAAATTAATTAAATAATTTTTTGTACATAGTCTGAATCTCTAATTGATCATCATCTTGATCTTTGACTTGCTCATTCTGGCCTTCTTGGGGCAAGGGGACACTGAGGTGTGTCACTCGACACTTTGCCTTTTTGTTTCAGGATTGTACTCAAAGACCCAACACTTATCATCTGTGATGACATTGTCTAAAAAGTGGGGGGGGGTCACTTTCACACAAGTCCCAAAGTTCCTGATACTTTTCAACTCGGCACAATTTTTGGTTGTTAATGGACAACCAAAAACTGTGCCGAGTTGAAACATATCACGAACTTTGGGACTTGTGTGAAAGTGACACTTTGGGTACCAGCTTCATGCACATTTTTTTCACCTGCAGATTGTTTGTTACAATCTTATAAACTGTACTTTTTGAATGTTTAATGTCTGTGCTATTAAACAAATGCGCAAACGACAGTCTGAGTTCAAGAGTTCAGTCACATGTGTCACATTTTCGTCGGTGGTGGTTGTTGATGGCCTTCCAATGTGGACTTCATCGCTGACCTCTTCATGGCCTTCAACAAATGCCTTGTGCCACTGGTAGACTTGTCATTCTGATAAACAATCATCACCAAAGGCCGTCTTTATCATAGGAAAAAGTTTCCACTGCGGACTTGCAGAGTTTCACACAAAACTTGATGACAATCCTTTGCTCAATTGAGCGCTGCATTGAGGCTTGCATGGGAGAAGAAAGCACGAAAATGCCTGTCCTTACTCTCCGGATGGTGGAGGTGATTGAGCAACTGTGCGTGCGTAACCTGACTACTCCTTCCACCAATCCCCACCACTCTGAGTGTGCTGCAATGTGTATTCACTTCACAGTAAAACCACTGACATTACTTTTCGGACAAACCCTGTATTAATTTAATGAAAACTATCCAGATCTTATATTAAATAATAACAATAGTTGTTGGCTTATGCCAAGAATTTAGTATATTATTAAAATCTAGTAAATTCTCAGCATAAGCCAGCAAAATATTGTGTGGCTTAAAAAAAAACATTCACACTTTCAACAAATCCAAATTCAAACATTATTTGCTTTAGTATGAAACTTGCAATATATAATTAAAATAAGCAATTTATTGACTGTTGTAAACATGTCTTTGATATGGTAAAAATTTTTATCACTTATCCAAGAATCAACAATTTGTGGATAATACATTTTTTTGCACATAGCAAAACTAATATTTTAAATAAAATGCTCAAACAATAAAAATGTAATTTGTGCATCTATTTTATAACTAGAAAATTGATATATTAGTTTAAAAGTTATGCAATATAACTAAATTGTAAAATCAATTTCAAAATTATTTTTTTAAATTTTATCTGAATATCCAGTTCATTATGCATATTAAAATCCTAACAATATTACTAAGCCATTCATAGTATTGAAGAATAACAACAATATATTTACCAAAAGATCTGGTGCTTAGCATAAACAGAACAACAAGAACAAAAGTTTTCAAAATAGAAGACCAATAATAACAATTTTACATGAAGTTATATCACAATCTTAATGCAATAAAATTTCACATTACAAAATAAGTATATATATATATATACATACATAAAAAAACACTTATACTATTTTAACACTATCTTCTTAATACACACTTTCAAAATTTTATTCTTCACTTAATAATCAACTACTACTCTTATAAAAAAAAGACTTACTATATTAATTTAACTGTGAGATATGGATTATCAAATAAATGAATTTTCTCCAATAGTCTATGTATAATCTATTTATACCATTTGTTGAAAAAAAAGCATTACAAGATTTCTATTAATAAAAGAACAAAATTATAATATACCTTGCTCTTGTAAGAGCAACATTTAAACGCCTAGGATCATTCAGAAAACCAATTCCTTGATGTTCATTAGATCGTACACAAGACATTATAATAAGATCTTTCTCTCTTCCTTGAAAAGCATCAACGCTTGCTACTTCAATTTCCTTAAAAAGAAAAAAAATTAGCAAAGCAGTAACAAAAACTTATTACTCAAAGTGATAAATATAACATACTTGATATAATTTTGCATGAAGTGATCCATTATACTGCATATATTGAACAAGGTAAGCTCTTTGTCCTTCATAGGGTGTTATAATTCCTATCTGCTCAGGTTTTACACTGCACTTCAAAAATCTTGTTGTTATTTTTTCAACCAATGCAGCTTCTGTCCTATTATAAAAAAAATAACAGTAAAAGTTATTAAAATAATGTTATAGCTAATTAAAAATAACTGAAACTAGACCACCTCTTGGGTCACTCATTACTTAAATTTATAAAAAATAGAAGATACCATAATAGATAATAGTAAAGTTTTACACCTCCATTACCTCATTTTATATATTTCCCCTTGAAATAAACCTTGGTCTCACAGAATAAGGTGAGAGCTGATGCCATAATATGTGGCATGGAGAGCCTTTTAAAATACATGCTGATTATTACTATATGAACTTATAACACACACATTGGGGTATCATTTGTACATGGCTATTATTATTTGATCTTATATATTTTTTAAAAATTATTTTTATACATTTTTTACACACATAACCTCAATATCTATTCCAGTATTTGATTTACTAATCATACAAACATTTTCAGCCCTATTTAGAGGCCTTCGTCAGGTAGTACACAGCCGTTTATTCAACCAAACATATACAGAATAAATTAAAAGTAAAAAGTGTCTACAGGAATATTTATTGATATTCCATTGGCAAGTAATGTAAATATTTAAACCAAATGTTTTTGTATAGATTTTCAAACTTTAAATTAAAAAGTGTTCTATACAGTAATACCCCAAACTTATGCGATAGGTGGGACTGAGCGGTAACCGCGTAAGTCAAATACGCGTAAGTTGGGGTATAATTTCGCATATAAATACATACAAATAATTTTTAATTGGGGCCAGAGACTAAAGAAAACAATAATTTAGAAAAAAATGTTTAATAAAATCTTAGATAATACATATGTATAATAAATTAGGCCTATATTATTTTACAATTTTTCACATTTACTTGATTATTACACCATAATTTTAACATTGTTTCCATCTCAGCGATAATACCATGATGTTTACGAATGATGCTTGAGTTTAAAGATTGAGCATTTTTCACAGCTTCAAGAATTTTTTCTTTGCCTTTTATAATTGTTCTGGCCGACAATTCTGGTAGATCAAACTTCTTTGCCAATTCACAAATTTTCATTTTTGTATCGAAGTCTTTAATAATGGGTATGTTCATAGTCAAATGAGTTAAACGCGTTAGTAACGAATCGTTCGAAAAGTCTAACGAAATAGGAATAACGATGACGTCATTCTCGTTTAACTCGTTCGACTTTACAAACATACCCAATGTTAACTTTACATTCCAAAGATAAAGTTTATCTTTTCTTGTTTGATGCAGAAGAATTAGTTCTACTTCGTTTGGATGACATAGTAGAGTCTCTCGAGTCTCCGTAGATATAACAAACACAGAAATAAATAACACAAAATAAATTATAGCCATGTGTGGATTCCGCGCGACACATCCGAACATGTAAGCTCAACAATAGTGTGGGGGGAGTGAGTAATCAAGGATTGCGTGGCGCTCAAACAAAAGACGAATCGACGAGATTTGAAAATCACGTAACTCTGGGTTCGCATAAGTCGGAGTATTACTGTACAATAATTTTATTGGTATAATTGATATAAATTTAAAAAGATCATCTTCAGCAACTTTAAAAGTGACATTATTGGCAGAAAATGATGATAACTTGGTAATCTGTTCCACAATTTTAATGAAACTTGTTGACGAGACTGTGTCTTGTTTATAAAATCACAGTGCTATAACAGCTGGATATCTTAGAGCAGGCATGGCCAACATATGGCCCACATCCGGCCCATCTAATAAATTTATGCAGCCCACGAGTAATCTATCAATATTAGCTACTCAATTCCGAACAGCAGGCCTGGGAGTGCCATTTCCCCTCTGGAAAAGTGAGAAAAGTGAGTTGAAATACAGAAAAAGTGAGTACAATACAGATAGCCCTCGGTTTATGCCAGCTCAATTTATGCCGATTCACAATAATGCCGCTGTGCAATTCGCCATTTTGCAGTGTAATTTCCCAATTTTCCCTATGCTAGACTGATTTTCATTTCAGTGTTGACGTGTTTACTGAGCCGCGACATTGTACATTCATTAAAACAAAGATTTTTATTAAATATATATATTTTTTCTGTTTAATATTATTGGTTATATATACATTTACATTAAATCAATATTAAAATACTAAACATTTAGGTACCCAGGAGTCAAGTTATTAAAGTTAATAGTCCAATAAATGGTGTCCGAATATATAGTGCCAATGAATGTATCCCATATCAGATCATTCAGGAAAACATTTTACGATGCAGTAGCACTTCCGGCAATGACAAATTATCGTTAGTGAGACAAATCTACTTCTCGTTGGCCAGACTATATCTATCTCTTCTTAGCCACCTTCAATTTTTCCGCTCAAACTGACCTTATATATGGGCTACGGCAACCAGTGGTCGACCAATCAGTGTCTCCGCTGTAATCTGTAGCTATTTCTCGGGTTAATGTATCCTTTCAACTATGGAAAGTTTGACGGATGAACTTTGTGAGNGTACATTTGTTAAAACAAAGATTTTTATTGAATATATTTATTTTTTCTGTTTAATATTATTGGTTATATATACATTTACATTAAATCAATATTAAAATACTAAACATTTAGGTACCCAGGAGTCAAGTTATTAAAGTTAATAGTCCAATAAATGGTGTCCGAATATATAGTGCCAATGAATGTATCCCATATCAGATCATTCAGGAAAACATTTTACGATGCAGTAGCACTTCCGGCAATGACAAATTATCGTTAGTGAGACAAATCTACTTCTCGTTGGCCAGACTATATCTATCTCTTCTTAGCCACCTTCAATTTTTCTGCTCAAACTGACCTTATATATGGGCTACGGCAACCAGTGGTCGACCAATCAGTGTCTCCGCTGTAATCTGTAGCTATTTCTCGGGTTAATGTATCCTTTCAACTATGGAAAGTTTGACGGATGAACTTTGTGAGTTAGACAATGATTGGGAGGGAATTGCTAATGTAAAAAGGAGCATCATATTTGACCATATTCCGAAATTCTCAATGAAAGAAAACAAGAATGTAAACAAAGATGGTCTTTGTGAGACTAATCGGGGGTAGGATGTTTACGAGGATGTCCCTCTCCTACCACTTACTCGACTCAAGACCTCGAGGTCCGGTCCCGCTTGTCTAAAGGATGGGAAAAAAGGGTTAGGAGAAAGGATCGTTAGATTCTTTCACCTGTCAGGATCTGACACCAATCTATCAATTTATCGCGGATAGATACGCGGATGGATGGGGAATTATCACGAGCGATCTCGTCGAGGACTTCTGGTTCAGTATGGAGTGGAAAATGTCGGAAGAAACGCACACCAATCCAAGTTCGTTAACAAAATACCCGTTTATTCTGTACATTTATACATGGTTAATAATTGGAATACAAATCCCTCTCGGGGTTCAATCTGTATAGTTCATAAAGTAACGGCAAAGTATAAAATAGTCGCGACCCTACCCGCGAGGTTCGAATATTCGAGAGAGAGCTTACACATCATCACGTGTAGGATAAATACCTCTAGTTATACAGGATGGTGATTTCAGGACGATCTTGGAGTCCGAATCCCAGGCTCGTTAAAATAGTTTGTGAGTCGACGTAAGTCCGCAAATCGTAGAATAGTTCTATCGAGGATGGTGGCGACGAGAGGCTGGTAATCCACACACACACACACACACACACACACACACACACACAGAGTACAGAACAATAACTTTTCCCCCTGTGTCGTCATCGCACTTGTCTTTTATATGGGGGCTCTGTTTTCGAGATGTCCCCCATGTACGTCACAGGTGATGATCTTCTTTGACCAATGATGGGCGAAGTGACAAACTTATGACACAACAGTTAACTCATCTTCTACAGGGAAGTATTGTCGTGGGAA